ATACTGTTTGATGATTTCCGCATTCTGTTTGGTCACCTCTCTGAAATGGGCACAAATCTCTTCTAGTCGGTTGGCTGAATAGTTGTCTTCTAAATTCTTTGTCATAGATGAGTGAGTGCCTCCAGTGCCGTCTCACTTTCTTGAAAGATTTCAGTTTTTATTCAATCAATTCCTGGTGTCTTGTTCTTTGCCAGTTCCTTCAAGGCACCTTGGACTTCTTCCTTCAGTATCATTGGCTCTTGATCATATGCTACCTCTTGAAACGGTTGAACATTAACCATTTCCTTTGGTACTATGACTGTGTATTCCTTCCATCTTCTCTTGATGCTTTCTGCATCATTCAGTAATTTGCCCAGAAAATCTTTCATTAATGAAAGTCAAGGCTTGAATTTTTTACTTCAATTCCCCCAACTTTTGAGAAATGCTGAGCGTGTTCGTCCCTTTTGGTTTTCTGACTTCAGATCTGTGCATATTTCATTGTAATATTTGACTTTGTCTTCTTGAGCTGACCTTTGAAATTTTCTGTTCAGCTCTTCTACCTCCTCATTTCTTCCATTTGCTTTAGCATGTCTGCACTGGAAGGAAAGTTTCAGAGTCTCCTCTGACATCCATTTTATTCTTTTCCTTCTTTCTTGTCTTCTCAATGACTTTTTGCTTTCTTCATGTATGATGTTCTTGATGTCATTCCACAACTCTTCTGGTCTTTTGTGTTAATTAGATTAATGTATCATGATGTATTTTTAAGCACACTCCAAATTTTCTCCTGCTGGATGTGATCAGGAGATGGGCTTCTCTGTTCACTGTTCTTGTGGCTCCCTCTAGAGTGATTTTAACAGGTGTTATGCTGTTATGCTTTTCTGTATATGCTATTTGGATATATGGCAGCTGGTATTGGTTATATGGCCAGAGTTGCTTTCTCTTGTTAGGTGCCACACAAATAGAAACTGTCACAAAATTAGGAGGAGGGACAAATTCAGGACTAAATTCCAAAGTCAAACATCATAAGAACCCACCTACATTAGTCTCCAAAGCCAACTGAGACTTCTGGATATTTCCTGTTTCTACTTTGGCAAGGATCCTTGGCAGATCCCTAACTTGGACACCTCAGGAAGTGCATGTTAATAGTTCCTCAGGCTGTAAACCTTGTGGGCGCAAAACTGGATTTTCTCTGGGGTTGCACTCCTACCCGCACGCACGGAGATGAAACAGAGGGGCATGACAAGGGGGAGCGACAAAAGCGGTTGAAGGAAAGAAAAGACCTTTGTACCTTCATTTCTGTAAATCGTTGGGTGGTTACTGTACTGGGAGTGAACTTATTCCTGTCCCTACTCTCTGTCTTCCACAAAGGTTGTGGCTCAAAGGCTGTCTCTCCCCC